GCAATGCTTGCTGGGATGCTTTCTCCTCCTTGCTGGTTTGTACAGAGACACAGCTGCCATCAGTCTGTTCCAGACCACTTTTCTCAGCCGGCTGCGAAGACAGGGTATCAAAGAAACTGGAACCTTCGGCATCCTTCCCTGTCACAGGGGTGTCCTGGAAGAAGGAACTGACAGAGGGCGCCATTGCACTGTCCTTCTTTGTGTCACCCTGCTGTTCATTAAACACATGGATGACAACCTGTGTCTCCTCACGGGGGCTGCCAACCTCTTGGAGAAGGAAACCTTCATTATCATAGGTTGCTGGTGGGGTTGCGCCATCCCCCTTACCACCGTGGCTGTGCTTACTGGGAATCTCAATTCCGTCATATGTGCTATCCTCCTCCTGACCCCTGACCTCTTGACCTCCAGTCTGTTCCTCGGACAGAGCTTGCTGGATGTCAAACTTTGCCAGGTCCACGCCCGACTGCACTGACTTAAACAGGGCTGGCTCCGAAGGCTTGACTGGCAGCCCCATGTCAAACGGGGGCTGCTGTAATCCCAGAGGATCCAGTTTCTTCTGGTCAAAACTAGCCATGACCTGATCAAACTGGTCTGGGTTACTTTCAGTCACTTCAAGCTGGTTCAAACTGGTGAGATCTACATCGCCAGCTACCTCCACTTCTGGGGTGGGGGCCATCCGGTTGTCGACATCGGTGGGTGAGGGAAATGTTTCCACGCTGGAAGATGGTTGAAGTTCATCAAGTCCATCACCTTCTGTGTCTGGTGGGGAGTCAAAATCAATGGCGACCTCTTCTAGGTTCCCAGGGATATCGCTCATCTGGCCCGTCGAGGCAACTTCTGTGTCTGAGGTAACACTTTTCCGCTCCAAACTGTCTTTGACACCTGTTAATTAGTGCAAATAAATTTGATCAGTTGTATGTTCAACAGTATGGTATTATTAACTACACATGGACACTGACAAAAAAGTTCAGAGGTCAGAGGTTATCTCATTTCAAGATTTACAGAAGGCTGTCACCTTGTCCTGTGCCATCTGCTGAACTGGGCGTGTCTAGTTCAGGTGTTCCAAACTCGGAGGATGGAGTCTGCAGCACACCTGTCTCTTCCTGTACAGGTGTGTCTGCGTCAGGTGATCCATTCCCCAGGTCTATCGACTCATTAGGGTCCAGACTGGCAGGAAGTTCCAGCGATGATGATGTTTTGTTGTCCTGATCCATGGTCGTTCTTCCTACAAAAGCAAGAAATCGGACATTTCAGACATCTGGGAAGTATGCAATCCTCCGCTTCCTGAATTCCCCGATGTGATCACTACTAATTCCTGATCCTGCTGGCTTCTGGCGATGATTCTGA